TTTCTCCTGGAGGCTTTACAAATGTTTAATTTAATCCTTAACTATTTAAATCTTAATGTAAGCATAAATATAAATTTTAGTTGAAAGTAGGGTATAATAGTGCCACTAGATGTTGGTAAGACCTGTTTTTTGTTATAGTTTGATTTACAATAAAAATGAGAATTTTGAACTACTTCTTTTCTTTTCAAAGTGACTAGGTTTATCTTTATTATGAAATGAATGCTTTTAAAAAATGATCTTAGTTCTTTTTTTGAGGAAAACTATCAAAAATGGGACAAAGAACAATTCCAGAAATTCCTCTGGAAATTTCAACCCTCCACAGTAAGTTAGGGACTTTTAGGTTAAGAACTGACTTTGAAATGTTTTTAGCTGGTAATTTGTGAATTATCTACTTTTCCTGTTATAGTGGAGTGAGCACAGGTAAAAAGTAAGGGTGTCATTTTGTTATTAACTTATTACTAACTAGTTAGTGATTATTAGTATTATTTAGTAGTTATTAGTGGTAGTTTATCAGTTATTAGTTATTATTTAGTAGTTATTAATTTATTACTACTAAAGAAATTAGTAGGAGCTGAAACCCAAATTGGACAGTTCATTTTATTTTTCTGTTCACAGTTCAAATAAGTATTTGGTGAAGTGGCAGGTCCAATCTAGTGCCTAAAGTGATTTTCTAGACTGTAATCCCAGCATTTTGGGAGGCCGAGGTGGGCAGATCATGAGGTCAGGAGATTGAGACCATCCTGACTAATATGGTGAAACCCCGTCTCTACTAAAAATACAAAAAATTAGCTGGTCATGGTGGTGGGCGCCTGTGGTCCCAGCTACTCCGTAGGCTGAGGCAGGAGAATGGCGTGAACCCGGGAGGTGGAAGTTACAGTGAGCTGAGATTGCGCCACTGTACTCCAGTCTGGGCGACAGAGCGAGGCTCCATCTCAAAAATAAATAAATAAATAAATAAAATAAATAAAAATAAAAATAAAACAAAACAAAATAAAATGAAAGTGATTTTTTAGAATTAAACATAATTTTTATTTTTAATTACCTATGCTACCTATTCCACAAGTCCAAGAAAAATGGTTGCCCCGTAACATTTTGTAGGTAAAATTCATGTGAAAATGATGGTATGGAAATGTCCTAGTTATTCTCCTTTTATAATTAGTAATCTGTAACCAGTCACATTTAAGCATGGCTGAAGGTAATAAGGCAGACATTGTTGATGGTGGATGGCTCCTTCTGTTTCTTTCATTTCCTTTCACCTAGTCAGTTTCATTGATTCCATGCTCAGGAAGAGTGACCATGTTGGAAGAGGAAATTGGTGACGTGGCTGCATAGGTCACCTAAGAAAAGGTCATGTTTATTCAGTTGTAGCCGTGTAGCCTCCACCTTGTGAACTCAGCACAGAACAGTTTCCATACTTATGTTTTTTTCCCTCCTCCCATTTCTAGTTGTCTGGGCCCTGATAGAAGAAGACCGTGTTCAGCAACACTAACATGAAGTTATTAGATTATGAATGCCACACTGGTAGGCACTGTGTCCCTTTTGATCCTCACGTATCTCCAGGCTCCAACCTGGTGCCTGGCATCTAGCAGATGCTCAGTACATAATGATTGAAGGGTAGAATACATGCCTGCCTGAAGACATACATGCTTGAGTCAGGCAGGCAGAGAGGGAAAGAGGAAACCCCTGAAGTCCTGGCTGCGCGGTGACCTTCTGCAAGTGCTTTCGTCCCTCATTGCTGGTTTCCTCATCCAGGCGGGAAAATCTTAGGATCGTGAATGAGCATGTTTCCTGAGTGTGAATCCTGTACCTGGTTCGACTGTAGTCACCCCTTCTCCAACACTCTCCACGATGCCGGCTGCCTCATGGCCTAAAATCACAGGAAGTGGGGTCACCATGTTACCACTAACCACGTGGTCATCAGTGCTACAGATTCCTACAGCCGCCATCTACAGAGTGAAGAGAAGATGTTTAGATTCCCAAAAGATTATGAGTCTCAGGTGAATTTAAAAATCCCAGTTTCCTGAAATTGTGCTTCCAAAATGTTTTCAAGGGTTTTGCTAATAATCCCTACTATTCCCAAATATGAAAGATTCAGTTTATCCTCAAGGTTAACCAGGCTGAAACCCTCCTCTACCTTCCATTCTTGAAGTAAACAATTTAGAATAATCTGTGAACTAACTGATCTTGAAATAGTGAAGTCTTAAATAATATACAAGAATGCATGCTTTTAAAAAAAAGTAGTAGAAATTGCAAATTAATACATAAAAATATCTAATGCTAATTGATTCTGAAGTCTTGATATATATCCCTTTGAATTTTTTTTCTGTACAAACACATAAATTCTTTTGTATTTTACTGGAATTACACTGTATGCACTTTTTAAAAATTTAAAAATTTATATTTATAACTTTCTTTGAAAACAAGTATTTTCTGGATGATTATATAAAAATGACTCAGGAGTTTTGGTTGTTTCCATTTTTTAACTTTTCTGCATTTTTAAAACTTAAATACAAATGGAAAAATGTATTTCACCTTAATACGAACTTCATGGGCCTTGGGAGGGGCAACCTCCACCTCCTCAATGGAAAAGGGTTTCTTTAACTCCCATAGCACAGCTGCTTTGCATTTGATTACCTAGAAAAGCAAACAGAGAGTTGGTACCAGTGTGTTCGCACACTTGCAGTCAGACATTGTGTCATTTAATCTTTGTACATGCAACATCTAGTCCCATGTCTGGTACCTAACAAGTGCTCCATAGAAATGATCACCTCTGATTTATAAAGAGAAAAAAATATATTTTAAAAAAGGAATAACATAAAGAAAGATAAACAGTTAACTATAATAACACACTGAGATAAAATGGAATATATTCATTAAAGCCATCCTTATGTTGTTGTTGTTGTTTTCTCCAAAGTTGTTTAATCCTGACATTTCCTAATGCTGTGCTAAAAACATCTCTTCACCCACAATTATTGGCTGGTACATGAAATTCTAAGTCACCTTCATTTTGCTAACAGAGTCAGTGTCTGTTCAAATAAAATACACTGCTTTCTTGCTCAATTTTCTGCTTAGGCCAAAAGGATCTGACTTTATAAGGATACATTTATCTTCCCGCCTGGGATGGCATCTCTTTCTCTCTCTCTTTCCCTATTCTCCTCTTTTAATTTTCTCTCTCCACCACTTCTGTGTGTTACTTCTTCCAACACCCATTTGCAACTTAGCTTTGAGAGCCTGTACTGTTATCTGATCTATGCGTAGAGACTCCTTCCAGCTTTGACTTGAGCCCCAAATTACAAAGGTTGGAGTTGGTTTTGTGTGTGTGTGTGTGTGTGTGTGTGTGTATACACTCAGACCTACACATACATATTTCAAAATTGGAGACACTGTGTGTTTGAATTTCTAGCTAGCAGATCTTATCCATAGATGTTCTTAAAAATAAAAGATGAACACATAATTTCCAGTGCTTGGTAGTGTACTGTAATATCTGTTGTCATTGTGGTTAAGCATGTACAATTCACAGAACTCTTTCCAGAATCAACAAAATTGCAATTATGATAAAAATTCAATTGAAATGTATTCTTCTGACAATTCATTGTCATGATTTATTTGTCAAATTATTCAACTTTGCAGAATGTTCAACATGATCAATGCAAAATAAATGTCAGAATACTTGGAAGTAAGGTACTAATAGTAGAAGTTCCTGATTATCAAGTGCCTATGATGCGACAGGCACATTGTGGCCTGTGCTGGGTGAGTTATATGCATTATATTTATTTATAAAATTTATCTTTAATTTCAATAGTTTTGGGGGTGCAGGTGTTTTCTGGTTACCTGGGTAAGCTCTTTAGTGGTGATTTCTCAGATTTTGGTGCACCCTTCACTCAAGCAGTGTACACTGAACCCAATATGTAGTCTTTTATCTTTCACCTTCCCTTTCAATCTTCCCCCTCAAGTTCCCAAAGTTCATGATATCATTTTTATGCCTTTGTATCCTCATAGCTTAACTCCCTCTTATACATGAGAACATATGATGTCTGGTTTTCCATTTCTGAATTACTTAGAATAATGGTCTTCAGCTCCATCCAAGTTGCTGCAAAGGCCGTTATTTTATTTTATTCTATTTAATGGCTGAGTAGTATTCCATGGTATACACACACCATATTTTCTTTATCTACTCTTTTGTTGATGGGCATTTAGGTTGGTTCTGTATTTTTGTAATTGCAAATTGTGTTGCTGTAAACAACATGCATTATTTTTAAACCTCATAAGGATGCTACCAGGACAGTGCTATTGAATTACTGGCTTTATTTTACAGCTGAAATAATTGAGGATCCATTGACTCAGTGATTAAATAATTTCTCTAAAGTCCCAAAGCTGGCTTTCCAGAGAATAAAGATGAATCTAACCTTATGTTTTCACTACTTGGTGGCAGTAAAAAGTTAGCAAAAAGTTAAATAGCAACAATAATAATAGTGGCTAATATTTACTGACTTATTTCTATATACCAAATGCTATTTTAAGTTCTTTATAGTATTAATTTATTGAATTATCACAACGCAACTACTTTACAAAATAGATGTTAGTATTGTCACCATTTAGCATTTGAGGAAAATATAATGCAGGATGGATAAACATAAATGAAATGCTGACAACAAACTGAGTTATTGATGTTGTGCCCAAGAGGGGAGGAATAATTGTCTATTTCATCAGTTATTATTTCCATTAATATGATTGGTTTATACTTTTGCTCTAGGAACTCATTATTTCTTTTTAAGTTGAGTTTGGTAAATTTAATTTTTTTGTTAATTATTTTCTACGTGGAATGTATATATTAATCAGTAATGAATGAAAGTGAGGTGGAATAAGAACAGTACCAATGGGATACTCATGTGATTTCCAACCAGTCTTATTGATATGAGCCTGTTTTGTCACAGAGTGTATAGAGAAGCCTCAGAGCCTTTAAATTGAGTTATCATAGTGAGATATTTTACCGTGCAATACACTGCTAACACAAAAAAGGACTGGAAATTGTTGCACAAATTTTTGTAATTAGGCAGTTAAAATATCAATTGATTATATTGTATTACCACATGCATTTTTGTGCACCTGTAAACACATTGGACAATTAAGAGATTTATGGAAGGCAAAACCAAATATCTGTGTTCCTAGTGCTGATAAGTGATTCAAATTGTATTATTAATTTTCTGTAAGACCATATTGATTTTTATATGGGGAAGATACTGTTCCATAGGATTACTCTGGAAATTGCCAGAATTGTGTCCTGCTAGACCCTTTTAAATCAGAATTTGAATGTTGATGTTGTCTTGCTTAACCTTCATGATTCTAATGCTGTGAGACCAATGAGCATTTTGTAAAGTTTTTTATGTTAAGGTTAAAAGGGTACTTCAAAGTCTTCTAAATCAAATCCTCTTATAAAACTTTCATCAGACTTTCTCGTGTTCACAAAAAAATATAAATACAAATAATAATACATTGAAATTATGGTACTTTAATATAAAGAAAACTTCTTGATGAAAGACATTTCTAACTTTGGCTTTACAAATTAATCATGATTAGCTTGGAATAATCTATGACTTTATTGCAAATGTCTTTAATGTAGGAAATAAACAATAGATACAGATTCTATACATTCTTTTTGAAGGTATTTAGGAATAGCTTATTTTCACTGTAGTTCAGTATACATTCCATATTGTAGCATATATTGCATATCATATTTCAGTGTATCATTTCTAATTTAGGTATGAATTTTAAATTGTTAATCAAATACTGTATTCCTTCCTTTGTTATACTGATGAGCATATAGTTCCAACAGTAATATATTTTTTGCTTACTTTTCCTGCTGTGCTCATGTTGATTCTGTCTTCTCTGCAGACCAGGAGACAGGTGAGTCCCTGTGGATTTCTTCCCTGCTCAAGTGCATAAAGCAGGTGTATTGTACAGGTATTTATTATTTTTTTTGCTTGAATAACACCCAATTCCAGTTCCACACATGATCCACATCTTTAAGCCACACCCATCAGATTATTCTCAGACTGTCAAATCATAAAGAAGAGGGCAATGAACCAACAATCAATACATTGATTTTTCAAATTTCAGATAAGATTTTGTTTTCATTAGGTTAAATATTAAGTTAAAGTGATAAAGCTTAATCACTTTCTCTTCTCCTCACTTTATTCCTCAGCTGTCAAATTTCTTGTTTCTCCTCTCATAATCCCACAGTGGTCGTTCAAAGTTCTGTTTTCCCTTTGTCTGCACTAAGCTCCAGCTTTGAATCCAAATGGTGCAGTTAGGAAGAAGGAGGAGCAAAGAAGCAGGGCAAATAAAGGTGAGAGTCAGGAGCCAGAAGAATGTGTTTGACTCAGGACTCCCCTTCTCTTCATAGAGAATCAGATACTCAATCACAGCAAAGGTGCTCACCCTGCTAGGCATTTTTGCTGCACCTCAAACCAATCAGCATTGACTCAGCCCCTCTGTGTGTCAGGCACTAAGCTGGGTCCAGTGGATGGCAGGGATGAATAAGACATGACCTCTATCTGTGCCACAGGCAGTTTGGGGCAGCAGTGATGGCATGCCTTTTGGGACTTGGCAGACCCTATTCCTTACTAGCTCTGCATACTGGCACTTATTATTTCACTTTCTTTTTTGCCTTAGTTTGTTTACTTGTAAGATGAAGAAGAATAATTCCACTATTTTAAAGGACTGTTTAGTGAATATAGCACCATTTTAAAGGACTGTTTAGTGAATATAGCACTATTTTAAAGGACTGTTTAGTGACTATAGCACTGTTTTAAAGGACTGTTTATTGAATAAATGATATAATCTATGTAAAGCACTGATGATGGAGTTTAGCAGGTAGGAGCACCCTACTAAATGCTAGCTACAATTATTATTCCTAAAAGGAAGCTCACAGTCAATGGAGAAAAGATACACAGGCAGCCAAGTCTACATATCAGCCTGGCGGGGAAGTGCGCTATCACAGGGATCAGTTAGTGCTTTGGGAGCAGAGACAGAGGTACTATTCAGAATGAAGGACTCAGGGGAGGCATTGTAGAGGAATAGGTATTTGAGGTAGATTTTAAATAATTGTGGGAAATTCAGACAAATCCTCACTGGATCATTTCTATTGCCTTTTGATCAATGTAACTGGTCTATGCATGGCTGTCCAAGAATATGAGTTTGATTTTTCTTTTATCCACACTTGGAGGCATTACACAGGCAGCTATTTAATCAGATGCAGTCTGTCAACATGAACATGTCAACAGAAAGGACATATCTCTCTAGAATTGGAAAGGGAACATTTCAGTAAGCTTTAACTACATAGGCACTGAGACTCACACCAAGACTGAGAAACTTTCACCCAATAGAGAAGCAAGGAAGGTCCTACGATTTCAGTTGCTTCTGAAATGTATCAAGGTACAAATATAGCCCCAGATCTGATATTCAGCATTCAAGGCTTCATAATCTGGCTTCAACCTCCTCATCCACCTACTCCTCCCCATTCTCCAACACAAGGCCTATGTGCTTTAGAAGCTTGTATCTCCTTGGTCCCCCAAAGAGGAATCTATTTAACATTCAAGCTCTTGCTCATCATGCCCTTTCTCTTCTTTTCTGTCCCTCTGGCCCATTCAAATCCTACCCAAAATTTGAGACCCAGGACAAGGTCACCCTCGTGGAGTTATATTAACTCTATCTCACTGTCACGCTTCATGTCTCTGCATCCCTGTCATACTGACATCCCTCCTGTGGTTTAGGGTCTGTTCCCTTTTGTCACCCTGTATTTTTAGTGTAGAGATCAGTCTCCTAATTTCTACTGGAAATTTCTAGTCAGGGATGTTCTTAAATTTCATTTATATAATCAACTGTACCTAGCTCCATGTATACAGTAGGTGTTTAATGAGTGATTGTTGAATTCTTATGCTCATTTGTGTTAGGACAGTCACTGTTCTATGAGTAGTCCCATAATCCAGAAGATCCGGTGTCTCCTCTTTAAGTGTTTACAGATTAGCAGTGGGATTGGCTGTGGTCAGGTAGACAAGATAGAGAACCCTCCTTTCTGGGAAGCAGGAAGTGGTCATGCCAGGAGAAGAGTTTGACGTGGAATTCAAAGGAGGAAGATCCTATTCCGTCTTTTCTTTGTGCATTCTCAGCTCTTAACTCAATGCCTGGCACAGAGTGAGTACTTGGATATTTGTTGATTAAATTAAAGAAATGACTTCTACTTTTAGAGCAAGGAAATCTTGAAAGAAAGATATTTTATTAAGATGTATTAAGAAAAATGGGTCATCGGGAGACAAAATGGAGGAGAATAGGAGGCAGGATTAACTTGCACCTGCTACTCGGATGAACAGAGCAGTTCATGGACTGTTCATTGTGAACTTTTGCTCCAAGAACTACTGCAGGGACATACCAGGAAAGCAGAGAGAATCCTCAGACCCTTTGAAGGAAGTGAATTGCTGCTCCAGGCTCTGTGAGCAAAGCTTCCTCTAGAATTGGAAAGAGGAACTGTGAGCCAGCTTGGTTTCTCAGTTGGGGGGCTTATAGCCTGGGGCAATTTCTCAGCTCTGCTCACCAGTTGACTGGAAGGAAATAAACTCATTTTTGTTGGGGGTTCATGGTGGGAGTGAGACCGGCCCTTCAGACTGTGGGCTGCGTGGGAGCTGTGTGGGGCCTGTGGCTGCCAGCTTTCCCCCACTCCCCTGATGACCTGTGTGACACAGGAGAGACAGCTATAATCCCCCTGGGAACATAACTGGGGGAACTAGTTGGCCTGGGAACTACATTGGCCTGGGAACTACATCCTCATCCCCCAAAGCAGCCACAACAAGCCCTGACCAAGGAGAGTCTAAGCTCAGACATGTCTAACCCTGCCCCTAGTTGATGGTCTTTCTCTACCCAGCCTGGTAGCTGAAGAAAAGGATGTAATCTGTTAGGGGGTACCATGGTCCTGCCCACCACCTGATCCTCCCTAGACTATTGTAGCTGAGGTGCTCGTGAAATCATCACCTCCTGGCTGGAGGCCAACCAACACAACACCATCACACTTAACAAAAATACATACAAGGACCCTCACAGAATCCACTTCATTCTCCTGCTACCTCCACTGGAGCAGGTGCTGGTATCCATGGCCAAGAGACCTGAAGATGGATCACATCACAGGACTCTTTGAATACACTCCCCAGGACCAGTCAAAAGCCAGGTAGTTCCACTGGTTTGCTAGATCCAGAAGAGAAAAAGCAATCACTACAGTTCAGGTCTCAGGAAGCCGCATCCTTTGGGAAAAGGGGAGAACACTACATCAAGGGAGCATCCTATAGGACAAAAGAATTTGAACAGCAGCCCTTGAGTTCTAGATCTTCCCTCTGATGTAATCTACCTAAATGAGAAGAAACCAGAAAAGCAATTATGGTAATATGACAAAATAAGATTCTTCAACACCCCCAAAAGATCCTGCTAGATTACCAATCACGGATGCAAACCAAGATGAAATCTCTGAATTGCCATAAAAAGAAATCAGAAGGTTGATTATTAGACTAATCAAGGAGGCACCAGAGAAAGGTGAAGTCCAACTTATAGTAATCAAAAAAACAATACAGGGTAAGAATGGGAAAATATCTAGCGAAATAGATAACATAAGAGAAAAACAATCAACACTTCTGAAGTTGAAGGATAGAGAGAATTGCAAAATGCATTGGAAAGTCTCAGCAATAGAATCAAACAAGTAGAAAAAAGAACTTCTCAAAAACAAGGCTTTTAAATTAACACAATTCAACAAATACAAAAGAGACGGAGCTCTCTAGCTCTGTTGCCCAGGCTGGAGTGCAGTGGCCAGATCTCAGCTCACTGCAAGCTCCGCCTCCTGGGTTTACGCCATTCTCCTGCCTCAGCCTCCCGAGTAGCTGGGACTACAGGCGCCCGCCACTGGTCCCGGCTAGTTTTTTGTATTTTTTAGTAGAGTCGGGGTTTCACCGTGTTAGCCAGGATGGTCTCGATCTCCTGACCTCGTGATCCGCCCGTCTCGGCCTCCCAAAGTGCAGGGATTACAGGCTTGAGCCACCGCACCCAGCCAAAAAAGAATTTTTAGAAAAGGACAAAGCCTGCAAGAAATTTGCGATTATGTTAAATGACCAAACCTCAGAATAATTGGTGTTCCTGCAGAAGAAGAGAAATCTAAAAGTTGCAAAACATATTTGAAGGAATAAACAAGGGAAACTTCCCTGGCCTTGCTACAGACCTAGATATACAAATATAAGAAGCTGAAAGAACACCTGAGAAATTCATCACAAAAAGATCACCTCCCAGGCACATAGTCATCAGGTTATCTAAAGTCAAGACAAAGGGAAGAATCTTAAGAGCTGTGAGGCAAAAGCAGCAGGTAACCTATAAAGGAAAACCTGTCAGAATAACAGCAGATTTCTCAGCAGAAACCCTACAAGCTAGAAGGGATTGGGGTCCATTCTTTAGACTACTTAAACAAAACAATTATCAGCCAAGAATTTTGTATCCAGCAAAACTAAGCTTCATAAATGAAGGAAAGATACAGTCCTTTTCAGACAAACAAATGCTGAGAGAATTCATCATTACTAAGCCAGCACTATAAGAACTGCTAAAAGGAGCTCTAAATCTTGAAACAAATCCTGGAAACACATTAAAACAGAACCTCTTTAAAGCATAAATCTTACAGAACCTGTAAAACAACAACATAATGGAAAAAAAAAGTATACAGGTAACAATGGCATGATGAATAGAATTGCACCTCATATCTGAATACTAACATTGAATGTAAATGACCTAAATGCTCCACTCAAAATATATAGAATGGCAGAATGGATAAGAATTCACCAACAAAGTATCTACTGTCTTCACGAGACTCACCTGACACATAAAGACTCACATAAACTTAAGGTAAAGGGTTGGAAAAAGATGTTCCATGCAAATGAAAACCAAAAGCAAGCAAGA